GGCAGCAGAACCCAGATATCCAAATTTGGATTTGTATGACAAAAAACGGAATTGAGGATGCAAGGAACCAATAGTACATGCAAACAGTTACTAATATGATCCAGTATGATAATTTTAGTTAAACTAAAATGCCTTTCCTTTAATTCATGTTGGTTAAAGTTGACTTGCTCAGATCCCAAATCTAGTTCATATCTGGGGGTCAAATTCCTTAAATATTGGCATCCCATTTTTCATTTCAAGCAAATTATTTGCTAATTATGCAAGTCATGGACTGGAGTTGAATGTAGCCAAGTAATAATAGTGTAGCAGGAAGGAGAAATGCGAGTTATCTATCATGAACACCCACACTTGCTTGTGAGACCCTTCCCTAATAACACTACTGTTCACTTCCTCTACTTGAATTCTGTATTCAAGGCTGTATCTATTCCCCAAAGTGGAAGAGTTCCATTCAAGCATGTTGCTACAACTTGTTATTGAATACAAACATGTTCTCCTTATTTGGATGGAGCACAATTTTTCCTTTTTCCCATAATGTACTAGTCGAAGTGGTTTTGGAATGTATGGCCCTATATTACAACCCAACACCAGAGTAATCAAGGATTTTTTTAAAAAAGCAATAAAGTAAGGATTTAAGAAAATAGTTTAACCTGCAACAAGCTACATGATGCTGATGTTTGTATTCTAAAGTTTTTACTCAGTAATCTGAACATTTGAGGATACAAAAATGGAGAATTGGAGCAGATTAAAAATTATCTACAATTTGGCAAGCACTTAAATAAACGGGCCTCATGCAACAGATTAAACCTTCCTTGCCAAATTTACCTTATTTGTTCCAGTTCTTCAGGGACTTTTCAGGTTTGGGCCTGAATTCTGTCCAAGACCTTGCTTCCTGAAGGCCTCAAGCCAAGAATGACCAAGAACAAAGAAACTCCTAAATTTCTTTTCCCCATATTCTTCTGCTGGCTGCTCATTGCAGAAACAGACACAGTGTTTATAGAGTCCTTAAGACACTTCAGCTAGCCAGCATGCCTGAGTGTCCTTAATCCATTACATACATACATACATACATACATACATACATACATACATACATACATACATACATCCTTGCTGCTTTGTTATTATTGGAGGGAGAGTATAAAATGGCATATATTACCATGATTTTCTGTTTTTATTCCAATCTTTCATTTTTTGTACTATAGACATGTCAGTGCACAGTCACAAGTGCTAAAAAGCTAAAATCCTAGATTTTGGAATTATTTTCTGTAAAACATTTTCCTATTTCCAGAAAGAGGGCTTCAACCTTCCTTTGCCTATGGTTTCTCCTTGACTAAAAGTACTGAAAGCAAAACTTTCCAGAATAGTGCCTCTGTATGTGTAATCCTTTTATACTCAGTACAGGATAGGAAAAGCATGTAAAGCATGTTTTCTGCAATTCTTTCAGACCCCTTTACAAGAAGTGATTACAAGGAGCATCTAAATTGCTGTGGAGAGTAAGGAAGATGACTTTGACGGAAATATGCAAGAATTGTAATGTAGGCAAAAGGGACAGAAACATTGAAGTCCAGAGTAATGAAATAACATTTGGAAGTTGATCAGGCAAATGGCTCCCTAATTCACTGGAGTATAAGAAGGGGGAGGAGGTACAGCACAATCAGATTTGAAAGGTTTTATTATTATAGCCAATCTCAATAAAAGTAGTTTTAGCCTTCGTATGGAGTTGATTTCCTGGTCTGGTTTACCTAGTGGAGCAGTTGACAATTGCCTTCTGAGTAATGAACTAACTTCTTTATATGCACGTATTTGTTTTCCTTACATGTTTTGTCTGTGTATATATATTTATTTGCTGAGAAGCATTAAGGGGCTGCATATGGTTTGCTTTGGTCACATAACTAGGGTGGTAGTTTAGAATGGAGCAGTCAACAACTGCCCAATTGCCTCTTCCATGGAAATGCATCTGGGGAATTTTTCTGGGATTTTTCCCTGCATTCATCCCTAGCCTTTGGAACTCTTTCTTAGGCAGCCTCTCCCTCCACTCTACATTTTGTCCCAATTTGTTTCTGAGCCCTGACTCCCATCACACATTGTGATCGCCAGATGAAGAAAAATAGACAAACTATGAGAACTGTATAAAGCTATGACACAGATTATGATTGGAATTGAATACAGCACAAAATCAGTTAAGACTGAAATAGGCCATGTATATATTAGTCATATTTTAGAGGACTAAGCATTAGCCATTAGTGTTTAATATTGCAAAACAAATGGCACTTAATTGGTGACACCACAGTATTTTCCACTAATAGTATTTTTTCCGATAAAAACTGGTATGTGCTGCTCAGGAAAAAAGAATCCCACTACTTTCTGGCCCTTAGTTTGCTTTAGAATATCTGTAACAACTACTCTTACAGAATATTCTAAGGCTTGGCTTTATATTTGTTAAAATGAAATTTGCTTAGGTTTGCAAGTTCAGTTAATTTGGGGATGTTATTCTGCTAGTCAAACTAGCTATTTGATTTTTAGTAGTTAACCACCACAAATTATTCTTGTGTTACAATTTTTAGCCTTCTTTAGTTTAATTTATTTTTATTTGAACAGTCACACTGACTGTTGGAATATAGGCTTAGGCAAAGGCTCAGAGCTTTGCTCTGACATAGCCTCCCCCCCCAAAACTCTAGTTTACAGCTGGTGACCATTAGGACCTCTGAAGTCTCCTCTGTATCCTCCTTCCCTCAGGAATCTAGCTGAACGTGGTCTGGTTTCAAATTCTTGAAGTGATGGATTCCATTTACCCAGGCACCATAGTCATGTTTTATTTAAAGTGTAAAATAGATGTGTTATAGATGCATAATGGCTATAATTTTATAAACAATTACACGGATGACAACTCTTGTAAAGTGAAGTAATTCTATCTATAGAGTGATGAAGTTAAAAAAAATGTACACAGTGTACCCACAAGCATTGCATAGATTATTTTGCTTACCAATTTAAAGTATTTTCATATGCCACAATATTTATATTTACATATATTGATATGTATAGATATTATACATATATAGTATATACATTGTTTAGCTGTCCTACCTGCCTGGTCATTTGTGCAAATTTGCATAGTAGGGCTCAAGTCTTGTCCATTTCCACTACATTCAAACTTATTCTGAAATTCTGAGATTTTTGATCTTCACAAATATAGGGCATTTGCTTTTAGAAAAAGTTGGCATTGCTTATATGACATGAATTGAAAATTTTGTTTTGCAATGTAGAGTTTGCTTCTAATGATTCAGTTGTTTCAGCTATTTCACAGAATATGCATCAGTTATTAATACAGCAACAGTGGCATTTCTATGTCTCAAGGAGAGATAGTATCCATATCCATCAGTATTATGTAGAAAGCATGTGTATAGGACCATGATCTCTTTGTAGATAACCCAAGAATGGATGTGGAAGGAATGGCAGTGTCAAGTCTGAATCAAAAATATTTCAAATCACGAATTTGAAGTCACTAATCACTTTATTTTTGATGTGCATTAGTAATGTTGTCTTGCTGACTTTAATGGACATCCTTATAAGGTATGTAGGAGTACAACTCAGTTGGCATAGGGATAGTAGTATTTTCACATTTTCTTTGAGCTCTAGATTAATGCTACCAAACAAGCGAGATCTCATGACATTTTGCCCGTTTATTTATTTATTTTTAATTTCACTATTTGTACCAGGAAGCAGCTATTATACCTTACAGATTACCCTGGATCATGAACAGTTTATTGTTTGGTGGCACATCCTCAGCTCAAAATGAACTGTATATTTTTCTATGGATAACTGTGAACTGGATTATAGGCCCATTTAAACTCTACTGAAATCACTGAATGATAAACAATTTCCTTTGGCCCTACTGATGGTAATATTACCTTGGAATTAAAGGAAGAGATTATTGGACAAATATAAAAATGAACAGCAGGAGTTGCAAACAGGTGCAATGCTTGGATTCATGTACAGTGGGGCAAAAAAGTATTTAGTCAGCCACCAATTGTGTAAGTTCTCCCACTTAA